CAGCGCTCTTTTCGCTTGTCGTTAGTGGGCATGAAAGGCAATTTTGAAAATAAAGTGCAGACGTACTCTTATAGAAAATTGAACGCTCTTTCACGTAAGAATATTCTTTTTTTGATCAGACCGGTTTACGATGATGTTTTTCAGTTTTGAACTTTTCAAAATGGCGGCGCGACTAAAAAGCCGCTCTCAATTTTCAATTAATTTAGCTCAAAATGTAGCTCCAGGTCTCTACTTTGTTACTCTAAAAGGACTTAATGGCACACGCATTCGTTTAGGAGTAAGAGCTAGGAAAGTGAGGCAATGTCGCTCCGCCCCCCTGCCGCACCACTCATTTTCCTCACTTTCCTAGACACTTCTACAGTTCGGTAACCAGTTGGCCTATAGGTATATTATTTGGCATAGAGTCTTTATTCATCTGTTCAAGTTCACGCAATATGAACGAAATCCATGGAACTTCGCAAAATGGGTGGCCCACTTATCGTGGAATGCCCCATATGTATATGTATTCCTTTCCCACCCCACCCCCCCCATAATTTGCGCGCCGAACTATCTTCGGTCTTGAAACGCAACTCTAAACTGAAATAACGTCCCCTTAATTTACTCGAAATTTAAACGCATTGATTTCGCCCGCGTAAATTAAATATTTATGATAAGGCTCAATAAGTATTAAACAACTAATATAATGAAATAAGGGCAATGAGCCAATTTTCATTAAAATCTTTAAATCAATCTAATATATTGCGAAGAATATCACGTAATCATATAATATATACATATATATATGTATATATTATATGATAAGAGGATAATATCAATGTTTGTTAATATTTAAATAGATAAATATATTTAATAATAAGAACATGTATGTATCAAATAATTCCAAAAAAAGTTAAAAAAGTTAAAAAAAAGTTAAAAAATGTAATGAATGTGAATTATAATTACAAATGTCTCAAAATGGTCTGTTCATACAGTATTTATGTATAAATGTCTCAAAATGGTCTGTTCATACAGTATTTATGTATCAAATAATTCCAAAAAAAGTTAAAAAAAAAGTTAAAAAAAATGTAAAGAATGTGAATTATAATTACAAATGTCTCAAAATGGTCTGTTCATACAGTATTTATGTATAAATGTCTCAAAATGGTCTGTTCATACAGTATTTATGTATCAAATAATTCCAAAAAAAGTTAAAAAAAAAGTTAAAAAAAATGTAAAGAATGTGAATTATAATTACAAATGTCTCAAAATGGTCTGTTCATACAGTATTTATGTATAAATGTCTCAAAATGGTCTGTTCATACAGTATTTATGTATCAAATAATTCCAAAAAAAAGTTAAAAAAATGTAAAGAATGTGAATTATAATTATGAATGTCTCAAAATGGTCTGTTCATACAGTATTTATGTATAAATGTCTCAAAATGGTCTGTTCATACAGTATTTATGTATAAATGTCTCAAAATGGTATGTTCATACAGTATTTATGTATAAATACTTCAAAATGGACTATTCATACAGTATTTATGTATAAATGTCTCAAAATGGTCTGTTCATACAGTATTTATGTATAAATGTCTCAAAATGGTCTGTTCATACAATATTTATGTATAATCATAATAAATGGCTGTAACATCTGTAATTGATATTGTTCTCATCATTTAATTCAAATTGTCGCCTGTTTTTTACAGTAATTTTCAGTTCTTTATATATATATACAATATATATATAATATTCTTTATATACATATATATATATTATATATATATATATATATATACAATAACATAATTTTTATATAAAATCCTATTTGTAGATTTAAGGAAACTTATTCTACCGCTATATATATATGTATATAAATAATATAAAATTATATGTATATACATAATTATATATATGAGCCGTTCGCTATAAGAACCACTTAAGTCGATTTAAGTTTATTTTTTCTGTTCAGTTGCATATCTTATTAAATATTAGCAACTGAATTTTTTCATTATTTTCTACAGAAATATAACTATCTTGTAGTAAGCTATTAGCATAGAAAAAATATTAAGTTGCTATTTTTGTTTCAATATCTTTAATTATTTAAAAATGACTTAAGTGGTTTTTTCGGCGATCGACAAAATTTGTAGCAGTTTTACAGCTAAAAACATCATAGTTTTAGCAATAGAAACGCCCCATTATTTTTAATTTTGATAGATATTTTTTTGGCTACGGTATACATCTCAGTACACTTACTTGATTTTTTTCGGATTTTTTTCTCCACATGTTCACAAATTATGATTTTTTATTAAAATTGTTAATAAAAATGAATATTTTATTTTAATTGGCTATACATCAGGGAATAAAAATCATTTTTTCAAGTTTTCGTGTTTTTTCAGGTTTCCATGCAAAAAGGATTATATATATATATACATATATTTTTTAACATTATTTTCATATGTAACGAGATAGATCAATTTTATATTATATATTTATTTATAATTTTATTCATAGTTTTAAAGAAAATTGTGTGAGATTTATAACTTGTCATAATATTATATGTCTTCGAACTTTTTATAGAAGATTGAAGACAACATTTCGTTGTTTTCATCACAATGTAAGGATTACTATCTGCTGATCCACTTGTCTACATCTCTCTATACTTCATTGAAGTGGAAGTGACAACCCAGTGTGACGTACCATCTTGAATGCCAGTATGATCAATCGATCCAACTACCACACTTTCTCATCGTCTCTAACTCAACCAACTTCACAATTTATTTCCAAAGTTTCTTTCATTCTCATTTACGATCACGACGTTAGTATTATCGGTTCACTCAACAATAATAAATAACGATACTAATTTAGATGAAAACAGATAAATAAATTACATTTTAGAAAGACATACATCTTGATGTAAAAATATAAATAACGTAAAATGTAGATCAAAAATAGAGAACTTAAACAAATTTTAAGTAGAAAACTATTTCACTGCGAGATATAGAGAACTTCAACAAATTTTAAGTAGAGAAAACTATTTCGCTTCGAGATATACGCATTTTCAAGGAAATTCGTAGGATATTAAATTTTCACAGGTTTCACAGGTTAGTCAGGTATTCTCGTATCTGAGTCTTTGTCACGAGAGCTACAATTGATTTGGTTGCCATCTGAAGTTAAACGGTTCCTGTTCACAACAGGGTCAGCACACTTTGAGAAAGCTGATACCAAGACGGAAGTCCTTTCATGCACAATACGTTCTCAAAATAGAACAACGGCGAGGCCTGGATTTTCCCTGATTGGCTCATACAACTTGTTAGAAATTTATTTTTATGTGGAGTACACAATTTACATGTATCATACATATTATATGCAATTTTTAAATTACACATCATTTATAAATTAATAAGAATGCATGTATTCTTTATTGTTAGGTATATGTATGTACAATTTTGATCTTCCGTGCTCCTACTATTAATAAAATTTTTAAGCCATATGTGGAATTATAAAATATCATAAAAATTTACGTTAAGTTCAAACAAGGATTTATTTTTGATACAACTACGATATTAAAAACAATCAATTTATGCTGTTTTATTTCTATATAGTTATTGCAATATATCGCGATTTAAAAAATTAAATATATTCGATAAGATAAAAAATATTTACTCTATCCAAAAAAGATAAAGTCATATTATATACGATATGAATGTAGTAACATATACATGTAGATATTCAGAATGTGTTTTTATTTTTATTTAAATGCGTGTTTTTACTTCTGAAATTCTTCTACAATATATGTAACGTGATCTATAATATATGCGAAACGTATACGCTAACTTTATTATATGCTCTATATAAATACGGGTCAGAGAGTACTATATATATTATTTTCTGCTTTTATAGGATTAACGTTTGGAATCGAAAAATCAGACAACTAGAAATCATTAATGCTTTTAAGTATTATAGCTTAAAAGCAAAAAAATAAACACAATAATAAAAATAAACAACAAAATTAATACGTTATTGATAGACTAACATTCTATAACAACATAATACTTTCATAAAAAATGTTTCCTCTTTTTAATTCAATAATATAAAAAAATTTAATTTTCTTACTATTCAAAAAATTAATGATCTCGCATGCTGAGCACGTTTTGCGTGTCCTTTTATCAAAGAAAAACAAATTAAGTATCTCGGATTTTTCATCAAATCTGTTATCAAAGTGGAAAGAATCGATCTTTCTGATCACGTGCTAATATTTCTTTTTGTCACATAGTGGCTTTAATGGCACATATTGTGCGCTACTTATTCCTGCATCGAATGATTAATGAAGAAATATTTAAAAACTGGCTTTTGAAACGTGTGTGTTGATCCACGAAAAACCTAATAAAAACTAATAAAAAAACTTATTCCGCCACGTATATATATTGTATTTCAAAATATTATTTTTATCTTGTATGCTGAAGAAGTTTAATATAACCGAAACATACATCTATTT